CAACCAGTTCGCCCCGGGTTGTGTCTGGCTTATCTACTCCCTCGGGATCTATATCGCCACTAAACGGGCTTGTCGACTGTCTGTCCCCTAGATCACCCATCATTCCTAACCCTAGAATCGCCACCAGATCTTCCACCAGATGTAGGCGACCACTCAACCTATCCCTAAAGAGACTTCACAGATTACAAAGGTAAAGACGAGAAGGATTTGTGGTACCTACCACCGGTCATGGCAAAGACCCTGGTTATTGGATCCTCTAACCTGGCTAGGATTGCATCCTTCCTCGGGGACTGGGAGATCCATAGCTATTCTGGAGCCAAGATCAGCCACATCAAACAGATCCTCCAGAACTACATGGGTCCTGCACCAGAGGAATTAGTTATACATTTCGGACTCAACAACAGGGAGGAAAGTGGACCAAGGATACACAAGCAGATGCTAGATCTACGCAAGGTGACCAGAGCAGCTTTCCCAACAACCAAGCTCTTCGCCACACAGATCTCCACTTCTTCCCGACTCCGACAAGAAAATCCGATCGCCTACCAAAACATCACCAGATACAACCAACTGATCTCCACTGCACCTTCACCAAACGCCACCACATTACCAACCTTCAAGGGCAAAATAGAACTGAAAGGTAACGACGCCATCCACTGGAGCCCAGACACGGCCAGAGAGACCATCAACTGCTGGATGAGGAATTTAAACTAGGATTAGGGAAAGGGAATGAGAAGCCGTCTTTAGGACAGACAGTTGTCAATTTGAGCGACAGACTTCTCAACCCCCTAGAAATGAACATTCTTGATAAAGGCCTTTCATTCATCTCAACCCCCACAATAACATCCATGGACCCCATCACCCAGGTAACCGATCGCTTCCAAAGAACACTTTCGTTGACTTATTTTTTTAGGAACAAACCCGGCAGAGGTAAAAAATTATTCACAGCAACATCCACATGGAAACCACCTAAAAATTCATTATTACTAGCCATCCTAAAAACTTTCGACGAAATGAATATAGAAATATCATCCCTTCAACCACAATCACAAAAAACAAATCTCAACCGAGCAACTAAAACAGCATTAAACACCCTTAAAAAAGAAAAAAACATAATAATTAAGAAAAGCGACAAAGGCTCGTGTTGTGTCATAATGAATCGCGCAGACTATATCTCAGAGGCAGAAAACCAATTAAGTAATCCTATACATTACACTAAATTAGACCAACCCATCTTTAAGGACACCGCAACTTTATTAAACAACATCTTACATGAATTGAAGGATAAGGAATACATAACAGCACAACAATATGATTATCTATCTGCTAAATCTGATTGCCGACAAAGACATCTCTATACACCACCAAAAATACATAAAAATCCAGAAACAGAATGGTTTATACCTAATAAATTACCCAAGGGACGCCCACTAATATCAGACTGTGGCAGCGAATCATACAACGTATCACAATATATAGACCATTTCTTATTACCCCTAGCATGCCAACACCCACCCTACCTTAAAGACACTAACGATTTCATTCACAAAATCAAAAACTTAAGAGTCCCCGAACAGACCATTTTAATATCCATCGACGTACAGAGCATGTACACGAACATTGATAATAACACAGGTATTGAAGCAGTTAGGAAAACATTTCTTAGGAACCCGCAAGCATCCAGGCCGGACGAAGAAATCCTCAAACTACTCGACATTTGTCTGAGGAGGAATGACTTCGCTTTCAACGACCAAGTATACCTCCAGTCATCCGGAACTGCGATGGGAAAACGATTTGCCCCAAGTCATGGCGGAGTGGGAAAGGGTAGTTCTGCCACTCTGTCCATTAAAACCAGATTTCTATGGACACTTTCTACATGACGTTTTCATAGTCTGGACGTACACACTAGACATTTTGAACAATCATCATTCATCTGTCAAATTAACCGCAAATGTAAGTCATAACAGCATAGATTTTCTTGACACCACCGTCTTTAAAAGTAGCAACACCAAAAACACTGGCCAACTAGAAACTAAAGTATTTTACAAAGAAACCGATACACATCAACTATTGTTCAAGAGCGCCTTTCACCCCAAAGATACCTTTTTCTGGCATCATAAAATCTCAGATTCTCCGTATTCATCGGATATGTACTCAGAAGACCGTTCTTGAGTCAAGCATGTACGCTGGTATTTAGCAAATTAAGAGAAAGGGGATACTCCAAACGCTATCTACGACGTATAAAAAACAACACTCTAGCTGAGCTGGCCGCCAAAGAAACAAATAATATGCAATCAGCAGTTAAACCCAAAACTTGTGGCCATCCAAGATGTCAAACTTGCAAAATCTTAAACATATCCGACCATTTCCATAACAAAACACCTGGCACACAATTCCCAATATTAGACCAACTTTCATGCAGTAGTTCAAACATAATTTATCTAATTTCATGCAGACAATGTGACAAGCAATACGTAGGGGAGACTCAAAATGCACTTAGGGAAAGAATTAACTACAGAAGAAATTAAAACGTTTAGGCTAACAAGAGAAAAATTCTGGATTTACAAATTGAAAACAACAGCCCCCCTAGGTTTGAATATTCATACGACTAGCGCAATAGCCCCTTTTGTAGTTCCATTTAGCGCAACAGCAGCAAAACACTATACTGATCTCCAAGAAAATCACCCGAAAATATTCACACAGAAACTTATAATTGCATATTCTAAAAATAAAAATCTGAACGACATCCTAGTGCACAGTAAATAAGATAAAATAAGACCAGCCTCCACCCTATCCCAAAACAAACCATATATCAAATCCTATTCCTAACTGTTAGTAAATAAAATCAACTAGATATAAGAATCCCTAGCCCTAACCCGGTGATGTGGAACAAACACGATTTTTTAGAAAATCCAATCCGTCGTAGAAAAGCCTCAAATTTATTTTCTTTTTTCTTCAGAAACAATAATACCAGAATACCAGAAGCACCATCCAAGGAAGACCATCAGCGCCACCAACACCAAAACATAGTGAAATCGCCTTTGTATATAAATCTAATGTATTGTATGTATTTTTTAATAAAACTAGGAAATATCACGAACTAATTTTTCATCATCCTAGGTCAGTGCTTATGTGGAGACTTAACCTCTCCCCCAAATTCTTAAACCTAACCCAGGCACACAGAGGAACAGGCTCCCGGTTACCTATTTAGGGTGCTAGTCTCCGGGTTACCTACCTATTTAGGGTATTTTTTGGTATTTAGTGTGTTTTCCGGTATTCAGTGTTTTTCCGGTGTTTTCCGGTATTCAGTATAAAATGGTGTTTTCCGGTATATAGTATTGCCGACGCCTGGTCATTCGTTGTGTTTTCAATAATGAAAGCAATATACATTATACAGAACATTCTGTTTATCAATACAAAAGTAAACAATATTACATAAAAATGTTCTAACTTTTAAAATATTATTGCGGTTTACTTACCATCTGATAATTTAATAAATTTCTCCAATATATCTCTGGCAACACTATAAATGTACTGATATCGACTGGTGTCATTTATATTGAACAAAGGTGGTGGTTTGACTCCGGCTTCACTATGCAGTTCAGGCTAATTCAATAATTCCATGCATGCGCCGACAACATATCCATAAAGACAATCCTGAATAAACGAATAGTGGCTCCTGAAACGAGTTCAGAAAGATCGTAACATTTAATGAAACTATGTAGCTAGAGCTGCAAAGCCATTGTATCATTAATTAGTTTTTGACTGCAATATGGGACTGTCTCCCAGTGATTCCTGCAATGCGTGATCTGATATTTGTAAAATAAATTATAAATCTCATCTATAAAATCTTTAATCACGATGGTAACTATTCTTTGAATAATACAAAATTAATATATTACAAATCAAATAAAGAATACCTATATTTTCCAATTTCTTCATCTGGACCATGAACATCAACTGGTATGGTGTACCAGCATCTTGAGCTGATGACTGCTTGTAAAATTGTTGATAAATAAACTAATATGTATAATTAATAAAGTAAATTAATGCAATCATTGAGATAATTGACTATTTAGACTATACAAACAAGATTAGAATGAAAATCCAGTTATCAACAATTATTTTAATAAAGAAAAACATTATCTAAAAATATATGCCATCTTTAGTCAGCTGCATAGATTTAAAGGTCAAAAATCAAAAATATAATAAAATTATGCAATAATTAGGCTACCAAGTAATGCTCGGTTTTTAATTATTAGCCCAAAACAACATAGAAACATGATTATTTGAAGTAGATAAAAGTAATTGCACATATTGGTGGCATGCAGGTTTAAATAATAAAACAGAACGGCACATAAATAAGTTCTCTATATTTTAAAAATTCATTTTCGTTCAAAAAACATGCTGCAACAAAGGGACCAAGAGTTATTGGGATTATGGCAACTATATATTACAAAGAAACTGTGAATAGTTACTGTATTACAGTAATATTAAAGAAATCAGAAAAAGACCAATGAATATTACAGTTGACTTGACCGCATAAAATATATACTCAGAATTATTGTAACCAAGATTAAAACTATGATTTATGAATAATCGATAGTTGGACATCAATGCTTTGTAGTAAACTTACTTTGAATGTGTATGAACTTAATCTTTAGAACAACAACAACATGCAAGAAACAAAATAAAGAATGATAAAATGAAAATCTCCATTTTCTTTGTGGAGATGAGAGTTTATAACTTAAAACAACGAACTTTCAATTGCAAGCAAAACTAATCTATAACGGCTCTATTTGCAATGATGCTATCATGGCACTGCCATTATTTTTTTATATTTTAAATTAGATAGCAATTGTTTTGTTTTGTTACACTATTTAGAACAAATGTTATTTATGATATTAAGTCATTCAAATTGCTGTATGAAATAATAAATCATGACTTACTCTGAACGTCTTTGGTAACGTGATGGACTAACTTTGTCCAGAATAAATAATAAACTATAAACTGAACCAAAGATAGAACTTTAACAGTAATTCTAGGAATACCAAACAGAGATTCATCTTCATTCGATGTAAACCCTCTGGTCTGTGAATGACTCCAGCTAATCTTTCGCTATCAGTTGAATGGTTCAACATGGCTGTTTGTGCTGAGTAAGCACGTTCATTGGTAAGACAATCACCACCAAAAACTACTTTTTTTACAACAGATGGAGGGGTCCCAGTTTGAGGTACATAGTTGTTGTGAATATGTTTGTCGAGCATGTCCAGGATTGCATACTCTGACTTCTGTGATGTTTCTTTTTCATGTGCATCAGGTATTGAAGAAGGAAGCATTTTAAAGTTCTGGAAAAACGACACATGCCTTGCTAAAATGTGCATGATATGGAATATAAAATTCTCCTTCAAACTTTTACAATCTAATTCATTTGAAATAAAGTCTGCATTTTGGTACTGATAAAATGACAGCTTTCGGTTTACTGTCAGGAAGAGTTGGAAATAGGGCTCTTTTTTCGATCCCCAATAACAAAAACCAATGCCAACTCTTCCTACGACGTTCTTTGCTCATCTGGGAAGGATTTCTTGTTATATCAACATTATTACCTCAATGTTATGTGACCTACCTAATTCAGGAACTTTAAACATTTCCTTGATATGTATTTCAGGATATGTCTGAATGTTCTTCTTCTGTTTATGGATACTTGAAGTGGAAACCGTCAAGCCCATATGATTCATAATGCCTAATGCCTAAAAAAAATTAAATAAAATTAATATCTACAATCTGTAGTTGATTTTCACAAGTTGATTTCCTTTATTTTGTTAATGTAGAATGGTAATGAACTGCTCTTTTCATTTTCTTTGTTTTATTTGTTTCGTTTGAATTTGATTTATCAGTTTAGTTTTTGATTGTTTAATTTTTGTTAATGAAGTTGATTCTTTTAAACTTCATTTTTATTTTTGAACTCTACTTGGTGTAGGTGTTCATCAGGTAATACCTCGACTGAGTTCAATATAGAGATTAGCCGGTTGATTTGTTGGATATAAACCTTTGAATAATAGCGCCTAACAGGCAGCTGTGTTTAATTATGTTCTCCTGATTTTGATTGTTTTTGTGTGTTTGAAGTATATGTTTGTGATATGCGCTTAGAAACACTTCACGTGTAATGAAGCGCTATATAAATCGAACAATAATAATAATAATAATAATAATATTGATACGATAAAAGATCAATTTATTTGTAGGTCTTTCTGTCTTCTCGAAAAATAAATCATGTAAGGCCTAGAGGAGAGGGTTTAAGGTAGAACCGTACTGAGCCATAATTTAAAATGCTATATGATTAATCAACTATTTATGTTCTTTTGTTTTTATTGAATTTAGGTTTATTTAAATTGATAACATTTAGTAACCTCATCTTTAGTTCCAATACCTATCCAACAACATGATGTACCAATGACATGCTGTTATTTCTTGAAAATAATGACATCGGCCCATTAATGGCTATGGCTTGTGGGCTACATTTTGTCAAGCACTGTAAAGTTTGATATAGTAATGATGAATCCACTTGAAATTCAAAAGCAATATCTTTTAAACTTATAGATTTCATTCTTTCTGGTGCGATTTCACGTAATTTTGAATTAAAAGTTTTTGAGCATATTTTTTTGCAAGACATATCAAGATCTTTAATAAAAGTTTTAATCAAGCTTTCTTTTAGATTTGATTTAAAAATCTTTTTAGCAATGCAATCGTCTGTATCTCTTCTAGCAATTGATTTGATAATCTTCTTAATTTCATCCTCTTTAATAACACGACTCTTAATTGAAGTTGAGGTATCATCCTTATGCAAAACCTGAAAAAAGGAGACTGCAGTTAAAGTAAAATAATATTAACATATTATATACGCATTTTGATATCATCCTGTTGTTCTCTTTATAAGAAATATACACTAAATTTTGTTGTCGCACATGCTTCAAAAGTACTGGTACTGCAAGATTCTTTTTATTTCTAAAAGTGCCTTAAAAATACTTAGGTGGTTGCGTGGTCGAATGCACATTGTATTATAAGGTCTGTCATTGAGTTAAGTGGCATGGTATCATGCCGTAGATCCATTTAAGGTGCCTTTGTTCAAACACATGAAGACGATCCAAGCAATTTGCGGATTTACCGTTAATTTGGATGACCCCATAATACTTGATATCCCAAACTATTCTCTAAAAGTACAGAAATACAAATGGTGTTAGTCATTTGTCGATATATTCGTTATTAGCTATATATAATAATAATAATCATTTCTCTACACAAAGAGCAACTTTTTTCGTAACTACATTTGAAATTCGGAATTTTCCGATGACTGTGCATAACTTCTTTTTGTATTAGACATTATAACCTAATCTCATTCATCGAATAATTTATATTCAGATTTCATATCAAGTCAATTTAAATGTTGTCTAAACGCAAATCAATAAAAAATACGAGGCTACTTTATTACAAAAACATCGGTGAACAAAGCTAATTGATTATTGGGTAAATAATAAATATTATCAACTGATGAGTAAAACTTAATTATTCTATACAATTAACGTGTGTACGATTCAACGATTAGTTGTGGCGTGCTGAAATGTTTGTATAAATAGTCTTTATTCAAAAACAAACTTCTGTGAAGTTACATGAATGTTATTAACAATAATAAATTACAATAAATAATATTAAGATATACTTTTCAAAAAAAGTAGGAATATTCAGTGCGGAAATGCACTGCTGTTTTTATTAGAGGTAACCAGTGTATATTAATAACAAGCCAATTTCCTACACATGAAGATAAACAGTTCATATGGGCGGCTTATCTGACGGCCCCATTTCACTCGCAAAGATATACACCGTCAAATGTGAAAATGGACGTTTTTGCTCCACCAATCCTCAGACATTCAGCAGTTCGTCGTGGCATGCTCCTATTCAACCGTCCAATCACGATTTAGGGCAATCTGACCCACTCCTCTTGCAGTGTTCTCCGCTGACGTCGACGAACACGTCTCCCGATCAAATTAAACGTAACACACTAAAGGCAAAGATACAATAAACAGTAAATCTTATGCAAGAAGCGATAGGAAAGCAAACATGGATAGATAAACCAGCATGCGGCAGTTTTCATCAACCATTCCTTGAAGTGTCAAATTTTTCAATGAACCCCTCCCACATGCATGGCGCTATTGCGTGTCGGATGTGCAGCTAAGTTGTTCTGTTGGGGCGATAAGTTCTTCATCTGTGAACATACTCTCAAAGCATGTCAAAAGTCCATGACTACATGTATTTATCATATCACAACCTGCGTAGGTATTTGCATTTCAATATCCCCTACTCTTTGTGAAGAGTATAATAATGGATATAACATCGAAGCCAGAAAAAAAGACCGGCAATAGTCGGATTTAGCTTTTGCACAATAATTCAAATGGTTCAACCATAGTACATACTAAAATGCCGAGACCCGGTCAACGTGTTATGCATGTAATAATCGGGCAATCTGGAATGATAGAAATATGCGTTATTTTACAGTCATTTCTCAATCCTTGCCCGCCTTTCGCTGGAAGTTGGACCAAGTAAAATATCTCAAGAACTGCTATGTGCCATTAAGAATTATATTGGTCCAACTCTCAGTCTAGTACCATATCATAGTGCCTGTCCATGTTTCGCTGGAAGATGGACTACCAGGTAAAATATGCCAATAACTGACAGGTGTTATTAATAATCATCAGTATCCACAAACACTGCTTATCATATTAATGAAACGTGCGCACAGTTTTTACTGCTGACTATGTACACCCTGCATTTTGTAGGAGGGCTTGATATGTGAAAATCTCTTAATACATTCTAAAGAAGAGGGTAAAAAATCTTTAGCACACAAATAAACAAGAAAGACAGCCTATTGTTTGCTTTGTAAATTCATGTCAGGCGACACGCCAGTTGGTTCTCCGTGTCTCACGTTTGAAATATTTGAAATCCAAACACTTCTCCACGATTTAGAGAGTCATGGAAATAAGGATCTAAACGGTATTGAAAAGAGGGAGCGTAATAAATATCGTTGTGTTTGCACATATATGATTTCGACAGTGAGAAGGGCGACATCGTATCCGCTGTTTCTAAATCATTTATTGAATTGTTTTTGAATATCAACTAGTAAATATCAACCATAAAAGGATATTATAATATACAATACAAGCTACATAAAATATACATACATCAGTCAGTGTTAAAGCAATTGATTGTGACGTCATTATAACTATTGGTGACCACGCCTCGATAATCCATATCTACATAACTGATGGCCAATCAAAAAGATAGGCTTATATATTTATATACTAATAAAGGGTTTTACTTCTCAGTCGACACCTATTTACTATCCAATTTTGCAAGGTGAAGTTCACTTCAGAGGCACCATTTGCAGAAGGAATTCGCTGTGCGAGTAAAAGGTGACGGTTTGAATCGTTTTAAAATTATTCCAGAATATTGACAAATTTTATATCAATAAACAAGTTATTTATCAGTACCGTGGCGCTGTTGTGGCTTCTTGCCTCGGAGATGAAACGGCTTTTACTATTAACCTTGATCTTAGCAGGTAAATACTTTCTGTTACAATTTGCTTTATAACTTGAACTGAACTTTTGTAACTATATTTATTATAATGATGGTTATTTCCTTGAAAAATGATGCTCCAGTTTTTAAAAATCTGAAAACTTCTATGTTATATTATTTATTTACTTTTAACTTAAAGTATAATTAAATAAAAGCCAGTGTTTACATTCATCTTCATGTCTCCACCAATATATGATAACAGAAAGGGATTGTACATTTTCATATTTACAAGATTATATAAATAGTAAGTACGGGAGGACACAGTTATTTTTTTTCAATGCAAACATTTCACACCTTAATAATCTGGAAAAAAACCCAAACCTAAATTAAAATAGAATTCAAAGAACCAAAGTAAACAATGTAAATTGAATATTTAATTAAATTGGTGTCATACAGTTCGCACCTTAGTAATTTGTTGATACAATTTCAAGAAACTTCTAGAATGGCGACGAAAACTTCAACGATTTTTGACAAAGAGCCAATGTAAACAATGTATAATGAATTTTTGATTAGATTGTTGTCAATTAAACAAGGAATGTTAAGACGATCTAATGTCAATATTTGATCTGTTACAATGGCGGTAAGACAAAGAAAGTACGCATGACGTATTTGTCTTGTGTTACTTTATACACAGTAAGGAACTTGGTAGTTAATCTTTGATCGATATACCAAAAAAACATAGAATAGTCTGTATCTCTTCTAGCAATTGATTTGATAATCTTCTTAATTTCATCCTCTTTAATAACACGACTCTTAATTGAAGTTGAGGTATCATCCTTATGCAAAACCTGAAAAAAGGAGACTGCAGTTAAAGTAAAATAATATTAACATATTATATACGCATTTTGATATCATCCTGTTGTTCTCTTTATAAGAAATATACACTAAATTTTGTTGTCGCACATGCTTCAAAAGTACTGGTACTGCAAGATTCTTTTTATTTCTAAAAGTGCCTTAAAAATACTTAGGTGGTT